ACGAGTTTTTCCGGAATATCAGGTAAGAACTTTTCGTATCCAGCTACTTCAATAGTTGGACCAAACGGTGTAAAAGGATTGAGTTTCCACGGCTGCATACATTATAAATACAAAATATTTTGAGGATAAATACATTTATATTTTGATAATCAACAAAATATTTACCATGAAGTTTACAAATGATTTTGCAATGTCCGTTCCTGGTCTAGAACGAAGGCATTCAACGATTTCCACGGAATTATTCGTTGGACATCCCAGCAAGTTTGCAATATACTTTGTTTTTTGAGCAACGTTTTCAGTATACGACCAATGACAAAAAGCACTTCCACTCTGCAGAATTGCCCGGTTAAATAAGCCTTAAAATTTAAAAATATTTATATACCATATAGTTATAACATAAAAGTGTATACTATATATATACAATATAACATTTTAAAAATAATCATAATTTGCCCCAAAATTAAAATAATGAAAAACACAAGCCATGTTGTCACCATTAAGTTTAAAAATAGGCTAAATCTCTCTCAAATATTAGAACTAACGAAGCTATACGTGATTTTATGAACATGCATTGGCTACTTTACGCACATATGGTTACAGTTATTAGGACCTGCAGTAGGATAATTATGGAGTTCATAATATATTCAGGGATAGTTTAAGCCAACCTATATTCAGGGGTAGTTTAAGCCAACCTATATTTACTCTAACAAGTAGAATAATACTTCCGTTCAACTAAATGAATTATTGAAAAAATATACGATTTCCAGTGATTCATAGAATACATATTAAATCCATTAAACTGTTATAATCTAACCTCTATCAGAAAAAACTATAAATTATCACAAACAATTGAACTCTATTTTATCTTTAATTTTTTGCCTGTCCTTTAAGGGATTTATAGGTTGTATTTGAGGATGGTATTCCTAACTTAAAAATACAAAAAAGTACCACTGATTGACCATGCTGCAATTAATGGCGGATTAGGTACATTTTAAGACATAATCGAGATATAATAAATTAGATAGGTACTCATACGTTATAATATGAAAGTTACCTGCTAATTTTTTTTAATATTAAAAAAAAAGACAACGCAATTTAAACTGCTTTGGAAACATCTTATTTGTACGGATTACGACAAAGAATCATTTAATTTTTAGTCGTTTAAAATAAAATTGAAGATGAACATATTATTTACTAATACCTTTAGACATTGGTGAAATCAAATGGAAATGAACAGAACTGGCTCCAGCTGACATACCGGCGATTGTGACGTTGTTCGGGTTACCACCAAACGCAATGATGTTTTGTTGTATCCATTTCAATGCTGCTACTTGGTCTTTCAATCCGTTATTTCCAGGCAAAACACTATCGCCGGTGGAAGCAAATCCTAATA